AAAATGAGTAACGTAGAAAGGGAAAAGCTTATTAACGCTTTCCAGGGCAATAACGCCGAGAAAGGCCTGTAAACTTTTATTCTTTTCATGCTTTCCCTGCGTTTCTTCCCCATTAACTATTTATACGGGGACTGTGTGGACGCCGGTCTTATAATCCCGTTATTATTAATTTTCGAACATAGATTTTTTCTAAATGGTTTTAAGTTCCTACATGGATGTCCTCTACACCCTGAAACCATTAAATCCGAAAAGAAAACAGGAAAAGGTAGTGGGCTTTGACCTTAAACAGTTCTATGTTTGCTTGCAGTAACTGCTCCGAAGGTAACAAGACACATGAAATAGCCTTTGGCTTTGCTATCTACCGCGGTACCGGGGTAGAATTACCCAGGCACGTGCCTTCTGGAAAACCACAAAGCCTTTAACAGGCCCGACAGCCTTCACAAGGTCGTTCATGGGTCACGGGCAGGTACAGGCAGGGCCTGGGCTAGCCTTTGCTCAAGGCGCCTGTCACAACCCCGGGTCCCCCTACCCTCTGACACACAATGTGTGCACGGTAAATTATGCAGTACACTCAAGCAGATAATTTAACTTCAAAATTCAATGAAAACTAATTTATTTATAAATATACAAACCACAAAAACAATTGACTGAAGGGGTAGCAAAATGCAGAAGATCAACAGTTTAAAAACAAAATGGGTTTCATAGAAACTAGAAGGCTGGTGGGCTGGTTAATAGTTACCACTAGCCCAAATTCGGACAGTTCAAAGGGAGAGTTGGTCACTTGTCCGATGCGCCGCTGTTACATGACTCTCAGCCGATCCTCAGCGAGGAGGATGCAGGCGAGTCGGGGCTGGACTTAGCAGACCAACAGGCAGGTAGGTAGCCGCCCCCCTGCGGCAGACTTGCTGTTCCTATCCAGCCAATGCAGGACCTGGCTTGATCGTGTCTCGGTACTCAATGAGGTCCACTTACGGGAGCTCCGACTCCGTAATAAGAAGCCCTGAAATATTGAATAATCATATCCATGTTTGCTAATACACATGTACATCTTACGGCAAACATTTGTGCACCGTTTGACCATCGGTCACTAAAATTGGCTTTTGAACTCCCCATTGTCACAGGTATATAAAGTAATAGCACTTACACATACTCGACAAAACATAATGGCTACATATTAGAAAATAATTAAAAAGAACACTCACAGTATATACTGGCTCCTGAGGTTTTACAGCACACTGCAAATTGTCACAGCCTACCCTTCCTCTTTAAACTTTTCTCCTGAAAATTTGGGGCAGCTAATCGCTCTCCCAACTTATGGCTACCGCCAACACTGGATTTTCAATCCACATTAACAAGGTTAAAAAGCTTAATACAATTCTGGCTTGAGAGCTATCGCTCAAACTTGTGCTATCGCACCACAGGCCTGTCAGTGTGTGACACACACTGAGAACCACACCCCAGTATTTAAGGCTATCACTGCTGGACAACGCCTCTGTGAGCAGGCACTATAAAACACTATTCGGGTCCCCATGCCTGGTGTGTACCCATGCAGGTGTGAACCATACAGGACCCCACCTTACTTTGCATAAAAGGGCATATAAGGAAATTTGGCCAACTTGGCAACATACATAGTTTGTGTCTTCAAATTAATTAAACACTTGGCGTAAAATATCATTGACTTGTGACAGCGCCCATAAACGAAAAAGAATCACGTGCAGGTAAGATCCCATACGCGTCGATAAGTTTAATTTGACTGCACTTATTTGAAAAAAGCAGCATGTAGTTTCGAATGCCCATAGACGAAGTGGAATGATGGAAAAGAAACCTTGATCAGGAAAGCTACAAAAGTGTGCAAGCAAACGAATTCAAATGCCAGAAAAGGGAAAGGCACCCCCTCCCTGTGAATGCTTGTTGACGAAAAAGAGCGGAGTTGTGCTGAGATTGACCGGGGGAAAAGTGAACAAATCAACATGTATACACAAATATACCAGGCAACAATCGCCTTTACCGAGTAGTTCACACTTTCAACTTCTATTTGTGCAGAAACGTTTACACTCATATTGACAACAGCATCCGGGTTATGTACTTAGAAAGGATACGTACGACCCCCGCGCACGGTTACTACTCTTCCAGCGGTGGCGCTCTTCAGTTAGTGTTCGATGTTCGCGTCTGATTGGTCAATGGGCCGATTGCGAGTTGTTTTGAAAAAGTTACCACTTCGGTCAAAGGTTACAAAATTAAAGCCCGTTACCGTTAGCACAACAAGTTGATCGATCTAGTGCTGATGAAGTGACACTCAAAAGACGTCAACATTTACAGGAATCGTAAGTCTTTGTGTTTTCTGATCATGGAATAATAAAAAAAAAATGGTCTGATTGATAGAGCATGCCAAGCAAGGACAGATTGACTGTTTCAGTGAATTACGTATGAATGAGGCCCTAAAAAGGCTGTACCTACATCATACATGATGTAGGCTGCGGGCAGTGGTTAGCCCCACTAGTACTAGTGTGGCACGGACTTTCACTACCGCTCCATAGGATCGAGCGGTATCGAGAGGCCGTGCCTCACTAGTGGGGCTAGGCTAGTGGGGCAATGGTGGTCCGCCCCGCTCTCACGTAAGACTAGAGTTGCCCCAGTCACTGTTTACTTCCTTAAATAGGCTACATGTACATCCAGAAAAGTTACTAGCAGGGAAAATAGCACGTTGTTTACTTAGAAAACAGTCGTCTTAGACATGTTACAATTTTTCAGACCAGTCTCACTGACCAGTTTGTGCATAGGTCCTAGCGTGTCAACTGGTCAAGTGGCATCCATGATGATAGTACAGTGTATACCCCCAAAACTGTGGGGTCCGACATCCGCTCCACTCCCACTGGACCCCACAAGTAGATGTAGCTACTTTTTGGAATACTTCCCCTTTGGCTTTGCAAATCATCTTTTTAATATTTGGACATAGTCGGGCAATCCAACCATGTCCAGATGATTACGTGGCTTAGGCCATGGCATGCATGAGAATAGAAATTGTTGATAATTTGCGTCCTAACAATTCAAAAACACATGAGGCAGTTTTTTATTTTCTATCATTCATTATTTTATTTCAACCTCCAAGTAGGCGTAGGCCTACAGACATAACACACTTTTCAAAAACATGTACAAGCAAAACCCAAAGCCATGCTGAGGGATGAGGTACCGTACATGTACATCATGTAGGCTTGTGATCAGTTCACGGATCATCACATCATCATCATCAAGTCCTGCAGTAAAATGTACATTATAAACGTGCAAGCCGATCAAATGCACATGGGTCGGCCATAGCTCATGAAGGCATCTGGTCTTTTTGGTCTCTTCATTACAAATAGTGAAATTTTTGTAAATAATGATTTTGGGGGTGGTGGCATTGGGACATATGGGCGGTGGAAGCAAATCTACAACTTGTATTCTCATGGCAGGGGTTAGCGTAACGGTTCTTTCCTTGCTTTGTACCAATGAGGCCCGGGTTCAAGTCCCAGCTTAGCCCAGGCTTTATTAAGTGCATATGGTTCCAGTCCATACTCGCTCTCGCAGGTTTTCTCTGGGTACTCCGGTTTCCTTCTGCCTCTAAAATTGGACCTTCTTCCTAACTCAGAAGGGACCCCATTGGAAATAAGTTGCAAAACTTTCATGGGCTATCCCAAGTATTACCTAATACCGAATCAATCCAATCCAACCCAACCCAATCCAATCCAACTCAATCCAACCCAATCCAACCCAATCCAACCCAATCCAACCCAACCCAACCCAATCCAATCCAACTCAATCCAAACCAATCCAACCCAATCCAACCCAATCCAATCCAACCCAATCTAACCCAATCCAACCCAATCCAATCCAATCCAATCCATGGCCTTACAAGTAGCTCTACTGATCCAGTACAAAATTCGAAAAAAAGGAGTACTGTAGTCAGGTAGTAAGGCTCCAGTGAATAGAGCTAGGCCTTTGTGAAATATCACATGCCCTATGGTTTATGGTCCGCGTAACCAACTTTTTTTGCCAAAATTTTTACCATCTTGCCTCTCATCGCAAGACGATCCACACATCTGCCATTTGCAAGATGTATCAAGTATTGTAAGTTTCATGTGCATATTCCATTGAATGGGCCTGATGTATGTTGAAAGTTTTCAAAGTCAAGTGGGCATTTTACCCCAGTTTAACCTTTGTAGTGATGACTTGTTTTGTTGTTTTTTAGCTTTCCAAGATGGGTGATGCTAGAGCATACCAAGCTGTGATGAATGCTGGCGGTGGGTTCATCCGATGGGATTGGAACAAGAACAAGTATGTGTGGGTCAGCAAGAGCGACTTACAAAAGCAGGCCAGCAACAAGGTCTGTATATTACGTTAAGCGTTATCTTTTCTCTCAGGTACCTAACAATGGTGTCAGCTCCATTTCCCCACCCTTCCCCAGGTACATGTGCTCCCAAGGTCTCATCTTATCAGACACATTGTATGTCAGTGTTTGCACATGAACATTTCTAGGGATGGGGGATTTTGTCACTTTGAAGGTGGCAATCTCCACGTCTCATGTGGGACTGCTCGATGGGGTGGGGGAAAGGGTGTGGAAGAAACGCCCACGATCAGGAAAGGGTTCCATACACAGATATCACTTGATACCCTGTCCACAAACCAAAGGAGAACGGTCTGCGTATTTCTGTTTTCCAAGTGCATGCTTCAATATTTTCCCTGCTAAATTTGACTTTTTAGGAGGTGTTTTTACTAGTTGATGGCTGATAGACAAGTGCATGGGAAAATCAGTGATGTCCGTGGCCGGTATGGAACTTCTTCCAACAATGGATTGGCGCACAATCCCTCATGCACTTAGTTTTCTGCATCTGCCAAGATATCATAGTTAAACCCTGAATCCACACACACAGGTGCATGTACATATGCATGTACGTTCACTCGGTGAGAGGTTCCATTGATCACTGCGCTACACTGTTGACCTCTATCATGAGGCAACTGTTCAAAGCAACGTAACCAAAGTGAGGCTGGAAGGAAAAACAGTCTGTTCCCTTTTTTCAGTATGTGAAGTAGTATTACTGTTGCCAATTGGTGTACAGGGAACAGGACAAACATAGCAGCATCATGATATAGATCTATAGGACACCGTTCTATTTGGTTATGATCTCTACATCATGTACATTTATGACGTGCATGCACATGTACATGTTTATCCTTGCTCTGCCCTGACAACAAATTATGCATGAAGAGAAATATGCACATGCACATGTACTTGTAGGACTGTTGTTGGACTTTGTACCTGCATCTCCCTCAGCTCATTCGCTGTAAAGTTCTCTTTTCAGATGTTATTTTTAGCCATGCGGAATCCTTTTTCAAGGTACAGTATCATTGGCAGCCTATGGGACTGTTAGGCATTCTATGTGTAATTGTGAATGGTAGAAACATGTTTCGTGTTCTTTTACATGTAGTTGCATATTGTCATATTCCCGATGGACATATTTAACCAAGTTTCTTATTGTTACATGCAGAAACCAACAGCACCGTCACCTTATGAGCAGAACCTCGCAGTTCTCAGAAAGTGAGTACCACAGTCCTCCTTAACCCCTTCACGCCGGGACCTGGCTAGAGCCGCCGTAAAAATTGAGATCCTCAGCCCGCTTTTCAACTATTATTCTCGGCCCGCGCTTGAGCGAACATGGTGAAAGAAGGCAGACCCTGGCTTCTATATATGGTGATTGGCCTTTGTGTGTAGCCCAGAAATGAAAAGACCGAATTTGCATCATAATCACCAGCTTCACAGTAGTCCCCACTTTGAAAAGAGGCAACGGGAATGTGGAAGCATGAGTAGAGCCGCATGCCACCAAACAATCTGCCTTTTCACCGTGTAATTCAAAGCGTGCAGAGCACGCAGGGCCCAAAATCGAGAATTTGCGGTTTGGCAGGTGGCCTTCGTGGCCAAGCAAGGCTGGAATTCTTGGAGTCGGCTTTTGGAAAGAAATTCCCATCGTCAAGGGGTTAACTAGCCGTAACAAGTAAACACATGACTTTCTGCTTGAATTATGAATTTGTTTGCTGATGTTTTTGCTCATTTGGGCAGCAATATCCCTGAAACTTTGACATGCTTCTCTCGCCAAAAGATGAATTTGCCGGACAAGGGGTTCTGTGCAGTGGAAATCCTTGGTAATAATTTTGCAGAGTTAAATATGCCAAGCCATCATTCAAATTGTAAAGCACAATTACAAAATGCTTTGTTTGTGCTAAATGTACAACGCCCTTTTTAAAGTTGACCTCAACGCAAAGCAGTTGTCTTCATCAAAATGTTTGAGTGAATACAAAAGCGAAAGTCTTGACTCGCGTTTCTCCCCATGTTGTGGTTGGACACTTCACTCCATCCTCAGTAACTTTAAGTGTTGGAGGTTGTACCTGAGTCCTGAGCAAATATTTGTACACGTGTTCTTATTCATTTTTGTGAAGGCAGCAGAACCACAAGCAGCCATCCTTCAAAGTTCCGGTCAAGAAGGCCTACCGACAACCTCTGGTGATGTCAAACAAGCAAGTCAAGGTGTGTTTGTCATCCATCTTTCTCTTCTCGCATGCAGCTTGATTAATTAAAATCTGTTGATTGAAACAAGTTGTACGGCGTACGTGTACCTCATTTCTAACATTTCATCCCCTGTCATGCTGATGGGCAGGTGAGGGGCCATTTTCTTAACTACGGTACTTGCTGACGGTATTAGTCCGCATTGTACATTTTCAGGTTGCAGTGGAATTTTCAACCAAAATTAACCGACTTTGTAACATGACAAGATAGCACAACCACAGTCCTTTTAAAAAAGTTTGACCTTACAAATGCTTTAAAATCTATGTGGTCATTTGTTCAAGATATATGCAACACTATCGCTTTTTTGAAACTCCACGTTTCGTGTCGTGGAGTGATATTTGCCACGATGTCCTGCTGTAGCCCTGATCGTTTGAAGGCTCTACCACTGCTCAACCTTCTGCAGACTAGTTGCGTTTGTGTACAAAACCCAGTGTGGCAATGAGTATATATGTAGATGTCACTCTGCATATCACACTACATGACCTGTACACGTGTACAGTGCTGAAGTAAATGTAAATAATCTTTTGCTAAGAAATGATATCAAAGTTAGAAACATGCCAATGAAGTACCACTCACCTTCTGTTCTCTTAAGTGCAAAAGATTAAAGTGAAGTTAGTTCACAACTTAACTGTTGACAGATGAAATGCTCCGGAAGTCCTCTGTGCCTTTAACAGTTGTAGAACAGGTGCGTTGTAGAATTTTAGTCTCAAAGTAATGGGGTTATTTTGGGAGGAATTTGTTTTGCATATTTCTTGTGCTCACTGGTCAAGGTCCGAGTTTGCTCACAGGTGGTTTTTCTTTTAAAACGATGATTTCGAGAATGATAACTGAACTTAACCCAGTGCCTGACTAAATCATTTCCATCCTGTTCAGTCCTTAAGTAAGACATGTTTAATGCGAATGTGTCAAAGTACAAAGATGCGTTCCTGTATTACTGCCTGTTGCTTTCCCAAGTCAGAAGCAGATGTCGTCATTGCTTTTTAAATTTCATTTTAGCCTTCGGGACATGTTGCAAAAGGCCAGAAAGTGCCCTCTCCTACCAAGAAGGCAGCCCAACCTGCAGGGGGCTGCCATCCTAGCAGGGAAGACTTGATTAAGATGAGAGAGAGGGCCAACAAAGAGAATCTGCCCCCGCTGCAAGGAGGTAGAGGGGAGGCGTGCCCACCTGCGCCCCCACCCACCGAGGTCAGTGGTCACAAAGTGAAATGAGCAGTTTGTTGTCCAGTGCATCCAGGGCTGAATCTTGAGAAACGAACCACCCTCACTGGCATGAAAAGAGTTGCACCGGAAGAGTAGGACGGTGATCAGTAATACAGTTAGAGAGGCTGGTACTGTAGTTGCACTGTGACACTCAGGCGTGTCCGTGAGGCGCATGTACATGTATCTCAGTAAGTTACAACACGGTATTGGTTGAAGAATCATGTGACACGTGTACGACACCTGACCAAATGCATGAAGCCAATCATCACAGTAATGGCCCCTAATATGGGCATTTCACAATAGTGTGCCTCCAAGAGTTTGCGGCGTGTTGGCCAATCACAATACGTGAAATCTGTCGACCCAATGCACGTTTGGAAAGGGTCGACAGATTTCTTGCAATGTGATTGGCCAACGCATTGCCAACTCTTGGAGGCACACAATTGTGAAGTGCCTGTATTCTGGTAGAAATTACTCAAGTCCGGTCTGTACAAATGACTATTGATAAACTGTACTAAGAATGTTTCCCTTCCTGCTGAAGTTTTTTCCTAATTTGCTTTTCCCCTGAGTTCTGTGCTTGGCTGTTGGTCTTAGCTACCTTTGTTGAATCAGTGGTGCAGTTAGGGTGAAATTTGTGAGAGTGCACCCAAGGGTGCAATTTTTAAGGGGTACTGAAAGCTAATTAACTGTGGGTTGTACATGTATATGGGTCGGGTACCTTTCCACATTTCAAATGAGGGGGCACTGACTTCCCCTGGGTGAATCCCCCTCCTTTTGACTCTGGGGATTTCTTGTCCTCAGACATAGGCCTGAACATGCATGGCAACGCAATGTACATGTACATGTATGCACACATGTGCTGCCACAACCCCTCCCCAATTATGCCATCGTAGTGAATCAATACTTTTTTAATGAAACAGTTTGATGCACAGATTTTGCTGGGTAATTCAAAGCACAGAGTACATGTTCTCAGGTTTTTACAAGCAGAAAGCATTTGCAGTGTCTGTACATTCAGCTTAATAGGCTACCTCAAAACACCAAACCTGTACCGAAGCCCATCTTTTAAGAACCAGAAATGGCAAACAGTGAGTCACGTCACAATGGTGCCCACGATTCAAAAATTAGGATTTGCATTTCTTTGATTGTATTTGTAGGGAAAGACGTTTGTGGTTGAGCCATGTGAATCTCTTTCCATATCGCAAAGTGATGTGTGCATACCACACAAAAGTGGGAAGTTAAACACTACGTTTCAGTTTCTGTAGAGTAGAATTAGGCAGTGAGTGATGCAGTCCATGACAAGTTCTTTCACGAGATCAGTCATATGCAAATGTAACAGGGAGAACAATGACAGAGGAATGCTTCCTTCACAGTTCATTTTAATAGCTTGTGACTTGGCTTACGATTGGATGACCTGTGACTTCAGATGGACTTGCGATGGGCTTGACTACAACACTGGCAGAGGGAGGCTTACATTTGATTTTATTCACTTGCAATCTTTTTTCCAAAGTCTAAGCAAATCACTGTTTTTGGTTGTTTTGTTTTTTAAATTTTATTCATTTTGCTTGTTTTGTAATGACAGCTTCTAGCTGGCCACAGCACTTTTGTGTCCATCATATCCAATCGTCAGATCCACCTCAATGCCGCCCTGACTTTCTGGAGGAAGAATCCTGGTGCCCTCGTCTCCTACCTCAACCGTACAGCTGACGATTCGGTTACCGTGGACGTACTGCCAGTTTTGACACTGAGGTATTGTCTATCACAGCGCTGCCATTTTAGGGGGAATTCAAGTTGTGTCTCAGGCCTTGCATATAAGTGAACCGACTCTCATTGTCACACATTTTAATAGGCGATATGAAATGTTTGTAAAAGCATATTTGAAGCAAGCCATCAAAGGTATGCTGCAGGACGAAAAATATGAGAAAAAGGCAAAGCCCACGTCTTGTACTGGAGCAACATGATAATGACGAATGTACATGTACATGCAAAAGAATAACAGCACTTGCACAGGTGGTGACCTTTAGGCCATTTTGTCAAAGGATTCACAAGTTTACGCTAGAATTAGTTTCACTGTCTTAATTTACCCTGTGTGATGTTCACGTGGCTAACCAAAAACTTGCCTACAATGATAGGCGATCTCAGGAACAATGTGTGATATCATGATATCAGATGCCCTTTGACCTGACCCTTTTACTCACAGATCAGTGTACTAATTTCTTGAACACGGTATGTCTTTCATTTCAGTTTAGTACGTCAAACACTTCAGGTTAAGCAGATATCAATGGGCGCCTGGCTGGAATTTCTCCCCACCCTTCACAGGCTGCTTGGCAGCAAATTTGCAGAGTGAGTACCATGACCCAAACATTGACTGGATGCTAAAATGTGGTCTCCTTGATTGATCCATGAAGTCCACCCCTCATGTGACCAGTCACAACAGTGATTTATGTCCCACTTGCCTGCCAAGGAAGTCTGACATCCATGTGTGTGCAGTATGACAGACATAGATAACGCATGCAATATAGCGACCTTTAATCGACAACTGGTCAAGTCTCCCTGGTAATCAGTGCACAAAGCATCCTCTTGGGTACCAGGCAACATTGACTAGTAGTTGACAGTTGCTGATCAAGCCTGGCTCTAGATTGGTCCACTGCAGTCTTGATCTTGATTGGTGTACTGATGAGACTTTGCAATCTAAGATTACTTGTAGCTGAGCCTGTTGAGTGCTGCTAATTTTGTTCCCAACTGTCCATATCAACCTGAAAACTGAGGGCAGTGCAAATTGTTCTAAGAGACCCACTTTAGGGAGTCAGTGGACACCTACTGGATGCAGTGCTGGGGCTCACGTACACATTATCGCCCAGAGTGGTCATTACTGATTTTTATTTGAATGCGCATAAACCTGGAGCATCTTTCAAAGACAGAGATATTGTACATTTTTAATTACTCCAGGCATACGGAACATAATTATCCCTGAATTCATGAGAGTTGTGAGTGAATTATTATATTGCACATGCTTCAGCAATTTACGTGACTTAACAGTTTGGATTTTTGATGATAGTAGAGGCAAGTGTTGTTTTGTGCAACTTCAATCTTTCCAGTCACACTTGTACATTTTGTGATTACAATGCAGCTACATAAAGGTATGTCTAGATCTGATACGGACGCTCATCCGACACTGGTCTAAAGAGTTAGAAGAGCAGAAGTGTCCACAGAATGCAGCAAACCTCCTTCAAAGCCAGTAAGTGAAATTCCACTTTAAGCCCTTAAGGAGGTGTAACGAATTGTAGGGTCAAGGGTTCAAATCCTACAGCTGGTTTAATAGAGGTTGTGACTTCGGGCAAGTTACTTTACCTGCATTGGTCTCCAAGCAGGGTATAAATAATACCTGTGAGGACAGAGATGGTTGTTAATTGATTAGCCATTAGTGAATGAACCTGTACCTAAGGAAATGGCAGCAGGAATCTGTGTACTCCCTAGGGGGCTAGAAATGTGTATAGGCCCGGTCAACATGTACATGTATAATTCGCTCTTTGCGCACTGTCGCCATAGGCATGCAGAGCCTCGATCTGGCAGCTTGAAACAATAGATATAGCCAGATCAGTGATTCCCGTGTATGTTGCATGTCATTTTGCTTGTGCTCCGTTACTTCTTATACTGTGCAATTGGACAAAGTGATTCTGACGCGATAGTACAAGCTGCCAGTTCCAGGCTCTGCATGCCTATGGCGGCAGCATGCAAAGAGCAAATAATGATGCACAACCTTGAGCATCAATCGTGATGGATGTGTGTGCTTTATAAATACCTATTAGTATTATTAAAACGTTTTTGAAATGAGACTGACACTTAAGTTTGGCGCTCTTTGAATTGCAGATACTGTGAGATGCCGTGCGCGTTATAAATAATTTGATACTTTATTAGTATCACGTGTATGTTTGAGTGTTTTTTTCCAAAACTTGCTTTTCCAAAACAAAAATTCTTGACATGTAAAAACCCGTGAAATTCCCAAATGAGCATAACTGAACTCAAGTATCTACATGTAAATTGGGAGGCAGAATAAGCAAGTTCGGTATGCAGACAGCACATGTTCAAACTGAAGTGCGTTGAGGTCATTTGAGAACATTTGCACATGTACCTGCACATGTGGGAAATGTTCTGTCAGGAGAGCTGCATGCAGACTCATGCACTGAACATGTTTGATCTGGCGTGACCGTGACATCGGGTGCTCTGTTTAAAAAATCACCTTTGAAACACTGAGCTGGCTTGTTGAGGCCTGCACGTGTACGTGTGAACTCTCTCCATAATTTGTTTGAAAACTTTAAAGATGAAAAGTTTGGAGACCATTCATTCCATTTTGCAGGAGTGTCTCTGGAATCTACAGTGGCCTGATTTCCATGTCAGATGCTGTGAATGCGTTAGCACAGAGGAAAGGGAGTGTCGGCAAAAAAGCTAAGGTACAAGTCATCCGTATCGTTGATTATTAGAGGTCAAAAGGTTTTACCTGTAAAAATACAGTGCCATATCAGTAAAGATAATAGACATGGACTGAATTTGTTTCAGGAGGGGTCAGGACTTGTTTGAGAGGGGGGGTGCAGAGTGTGGTGGAAGGGGATTAGTTCTGAGGTGTTTTTAGGTGATTTGATTTCCTTAACTTCCCTTTTTATTTCTCTGTCATTTTTCTGTCTTTCCCTTTTTAAAAGTTTTCCTGTTGAGGGAAAGCACCCCCACCTGACGCCCACTGCCAAAATACATGCAGCAGTTGTAAATGCTGTTCTCAAGAAGATGACTCTTTTTTTATTCCAAGCTCCCTCTGTGATCTTACCTGGGAACTTTCTTTTCCTCTGAACAAATTTTCCATTCTGCCGGAAACCAATGCCACATTCTTTGTCTGTGCAAACATATTCTGACATGACCACTGTCTGACCACTTTCTGAGTGCAATGTCATGCAGTGAGCTAGCTCTGCCTTTTCCGTCGTACCAGATCCTCCAAACTTTCCAGGGGACTTTTAAGAATTGGGATCGTTGAAGATGGGGGGCAAGACTTCCTCTTTTTGTTGTGTCTTTGTTCGCATTACTCGCCAACTGTTCAATAGCGAAGGTTTGTCGCTCACCTCGCTTCACTCACCAACGTACATGTACATGTACCTTACAAGCACAGCATTTTTGAATCATTCAAACATTTAAAATTTAGTCATTTAAAATTGTACTGAATCATGAGAAACGCCAAAGGAAATAAGTAATTTACTTGGTACAATATACGATATATGTGTATACACCCAAAGTTTAGTAAGCGAATGAGTTTGAGCATTGTGTCCACCAGAGTTGAAGCACACCCTCACTGGCAAGGAAGAGACAGGCTTGTTGGAAATTTTTCAACTGGGCTCATGCATGTGCCCTACACATGCACGATAATGATACATCTAAACAGAAGCTGGTCACGTGTACTTAGTGTGTGCCCAACGCCCAATGCACATCTTGCACATGTGCATAGTGAGCTCCCACCAAAGGACCTTCACTGCTGTGTAAAACCACACCCGCTCCTGTTGCCACTCGGAGTGGACGGCAAACTCACCCCAACCTGAACTTCTACAGTGAGACACACAATCTGTAATGTTATACTGCACTTTCTACCTTTCTGTTTTTATCAGGTTGTTAAAGAACTTCTTGACAAGCTGTGAATGCTAGCGGTGAATGCCCAAGGCTGGCTGCTACAGGTATATGCACTCTTAATGGTACTTGTTGAGCTTGATCCTAGAAGAGCCGAGCGGATCTTCCCCCAGCCCCTCAACATTCTCTCAAATACATGTACAAGGCAGGAACTTGGTTCCTGAAGGGGCAAGGCAATTTCTCCTTTGCAAAGGGTACTTGTATTGGAAAACAAACTTGTCCGAGGGAACATTTCAATGTGCAGTACGGCAAACACTGGGGGAATCAGGGCCATTGCCGTCAAACCCCCCCCCCCGCAAAGTTCCTGCCTTGCAGATATCACATGCTGAATCCAAAGGAGTTGTTCTGACACCAACTGTGTGAGATTTGGGACATGCCATTCTCATGTAATGCAGTGTCTGAGACAAGTCCGCCCAAATTGCATACCATTCTTTTTCCATTGATGTGCTCAATGCGTGATGTCCGATGCCCTTGATCCAATAAACATCAAATTCTTCAGTCAGATTAAACTGAAACTTCAAATTTGTCCTGATGATGGGTGTCTTTACATGCATGCCGAGTTACAAAGAGATCGGAATGTGACAGCTTGGTTTTAAGAGGGAGGTAAAATTCCCTCCTGCCATTCATCAAACTTGCGCCAGTGAAAAGATGATTATGTATGAATATAAAGACGACAATGAAGGAATGTTCGGTTTTAATGGAGGGAGGAAAACCCCACAAACTGTTTTTATGGGGAAGCCCCACTGAACCAGGTAAGGACAGAAAACTAGTCCACACACTGACCTAAACGGGACTCGAACCTCTGGTTGTAGAGACGGAAGGGAAAGAAAATACAGTCATGCCAACCTGACTCCCAAATCAAGTGTTATCATTTGGTCTTGTTGACAACATCAATGGAAAGTTGTAAGAAGCCTCTACCGGTACCTTTGTACATGAATTAATCCCAGTATCTTGTATGTGTATTGTGTACCTGTATTTACTCCCTTGCGAGGCACCTGTCTATTGGTGTGTATTTATGGGTAGTACAGGAAGTTCAGGAACCAGGTACTCTATGGTACCCAGAGATACCCATGAAAAGAACCGGTTCTTGGCATCATTGGTCAGGTATCCGGTTCTAGTGCACAGCCCTAAATGTGCCAGACCATAGAATTGATCAATAGATTAAAATGGCAGGTTGTTAATGAAATTTCTCTCCAGTTTTGGGTACTGTACCGTACTGTAACATCATTACTCAGTGTATAGAAAACAAATTATACATGTCGCTTAGTCATTCAACAAGTCAAGTATTTGTTGTTTCAGTTTGGATGTTCCAAACTACGTAGGACATCCTATTTTTTAATGGTATCTTGATACATCAACACTTCCCATATGGGAGGATAAAGCCATCGTAGTAACAGTTTAGTACTAATGTACATGAATAACCACTATGCTGGCAAGTGCTCGTGCCTGTAAGTATGCTAACTTCAAAAATCCGTCCACTGTTTGACTTAAACCAAGAGCAGCTGTAAATATTGTGACGCCAGTGTGGTACATTACCTCAGCTTGGTGTCACTCTCACCTTCACAATTTGAGCACTGTACTGTCAACCAGATGAGAATTCTATGAAAAAGGATCGTCTCATTAGCACATGTTAAAAAATAACTACCGGTACTTTTGTGTTAAATTCTTCACTGACCATCTGCAGTGTATGTTCCGGGATCTATGTGTAAGCCCTTCGGGCGAGGCCTGATTTTAGGCTTGGTTTTCCTCATTTTAGATGACAATTGGCACCGTGACTGTACTGTACATTGTGCATAAACATTTTCTGGTATTTTAGACAAAAAATGTCAGGCCTACTTGTACTTCTAAATTACGTCTCTTTTTACATTGTATATGTAACATTTCTAGAACAAGGTACATATTTTCTCGATCATTATTATGACAGCAAAATAAATACTACAATAAATTTTGTTTAAGTTTTAACAGATGCACACTTCAGTATTATGAGTACAAAATTAAACGACATTCAAATGAAATTGGAACCTTACAAAACATTCTTGGAAAAACATTTTTCTTTCTACTCTTCCTCCTGTTTGAATCAAATTTATCACTTTAATTTTTCACCTGTCTATTAAAAATTATGATAAACTTGAAAGTCAGACTTTATGGGTCCAATGAATAGCACTGATTCACAGTACACATCACATCCTTTGTTCATACGTGAACACAAAAAGGTCTAGTTACAACTGAGGGTTCAGCATCGATACAGGTACATAGTGATGCATCATTCCATCCGCTACAGTGCTTTGATGTGGCTTGACGATGCAGAAACTAAGATCAATGGGAGGTGACAAACAGAAGAATTTTTCTCATTGCAGCATCCCATGCCGTGATGGGAATTGAGGGGATGCAAGATTTGATTTTGAAAGGATGGACAGAGAACCACAAGTAATGAATGCACCAAGAGTTGCATGATGTCAACCCTCCACCCACAATGCAATGCACACCTCTGCTGACTCGTATGTGCCCTTTAATGTCAGTGAAACGACGGTGCATGTATTGTCTGTCGCTCCTACAGAATTAGATTGAAGCTGAACTACTCGTACAAGTACATTTTAAGAAGGAACTTTGCATGCACAGACCTCTCAAAATGAGATCTCACTGGTCATGACTCTTCGGGTGCCTTTCCATATAATATGTACGTCTTTATGGTGCGTTGCGTACATGATAATTCATGTGCTTCACTTTCATGGACACACAAATCGACTCCATTGACATAACCAGTCGCTCCTTGAACGATTCTGACGGATACGTGCTGCTTGGCACAGGTGTTGACACGCATATGGAAAGATGCTTTTATCCTGGTTACATTATGAGTTGATTAAAGCCAGTGCTTGCAGCTAGTCTGACTGAAGTAAATGTGTATTTTTCAGCATGTTTTTCACGTCCCTTGATGCACAAATCTCTTGTTTTTGCTCTTAATTCTTTCAACTTGATGCACAAATCTCTTATTTTTGCTGTTTAATACATGTATTTCTTTCAACTTGGTCCGAATGCCATTCTAGATGGGGGAATTGCACTGTGAATAAAAAACATATGTCGGCCTTCAGGCATACAGAACTTCTGCAATCCTTAATTTGAGGACCCCTCTAATTTGCACGTGTCATATAAATGTCTTTCACCGCCAGAATTGGTACATGTAGAAATGTCACATTGTTTAGCAAATGTTCTCCCCACAATGACTCAGTCTTGTCCTCGTAAGAAAGGGGTGACTTCCTGAGGCCACAAAGGTCATTTTGGACTCACAATATTTGTTACAAGTTTTAAACGCGAAACAAAACTGAAGGGGTGTCCTAAAAGTAAGGATTGCCTGTACATCAATCTTGATGGTTTATTGGTAGCTTCGTTATGCCCTCATACATTCCAGAGCCATATTGGGGCAGAGGCACGGGAAATAACACTCCCAAGAGCCAGTACTTTCCTAGCGTGTCCGTGAAATTCTCCCAGATAGAGGTATCTGTTCCCCTCTCCCCATTGATGGCCTCATGGGTGGTCAGTCCCATCACCACAAGGAACATGTGCCAGACGAAGAAACCCAGCCCTGCCAGCGCTCCCGTCAGGCAGATGTACAGGAACAGGACCAGCAGTAGCTCGTGCAATCCCGCCAAACCCAGCAGCCACCGCTCGATGGACGACGGCAGCAGCGTGAAGAAAGTGAACGCCCCCCAAAACTTGGTCCGGAACGACACGTGCATGTACATGGCCGTGGTCAGCAGGGCGTACACCGAGACCAGGGCCGTATGCAGCGAGCAGTAGATAAAGTACTTCTGGTTGTGGTAGCCGACGCACTTTCCCAGGACGAAGCAGTGGTGGTCCCGCTTCAGGACGCACTGGTCGCACACCTTGCAGTAATGGGCGCGGAAGGGAATCATAGGATAGCGGTTGGCACTTCGGGCAGATATGCGACGGCGCTTCTTCAAGCGGACGTCACAGGATGAGGCCAGCAAATAGTTCCCCATGGCATTGACGAAAAGATACAGGAGTAGCAGTTGAAGGCTGACAGCGGAGACTCCCAGAGCACGGGACAGCTCCGGCAATATGACAAACCACTCCAAGATGGCACCCAGCGTGGTGACAGTCATGTAATAGCTGACACCAATTACATTCAAAGCGGTTGTAACTGGCGTGCCAAGACTCCTTGAAATCCAGTTGTCGGTTTGTTTCAGTCCATCCGCACTGCCCATTTTCTCCCTAAGCCAGTCCTTTACTTATATCCCCTATGTTGCACATATGCATTCCATTAATACACGCCATATCAGCCCTCATAGGATGTAGTACTACCACCAGCCCTTGCAAACCTCAATACACCTGTGAATAGCTATAGAAAGAGTCGAATTGATTCCTATGTAACACCCGACTGAATGAATACACAGGCGGACAATTGCACTGCCAGTCCACCACAACACAACCAGACAATTGAAAGTGCAACTGAGGAACAACCCCACCTAACCACATGACACCTCGTATAGTCCGACACTGTACATGTACATGGACGTGCACTGTTGTTAGGGGAAAAAATGCAGCATTTTATTGCATTAAACCAAACAATGCATTCACATGGATTTAAACATCAATAGAATACGTGGAAAAGGGATTCGCGGTGGTGTTGACTTTACATGTATCCATGGCAACAGGTCACAAGGTCAAATCCATAAATTTATTAATGTGCACAAGATAAGGGAGGGGTGACTTACATGTGTGTTAATAGTACTGTGTGTCATTTAAAATCTACATGTACATGTATGTCTATTTGTCTTGTCTCATTTGTGTGTGTATTTGGTCTTTCTCACATGGATGGGAAGGACATTTTCCAGTGTACACATCGTTTGGAATTACAGTGTGTACTGTTTTGGTTCTCTACACCATTCTAAATGTGTCACTGAAAAGAGTGAACTGAAGAAAACCCAGCACAAAAACTCATTTTCTCTGAGTTTAGGAAAATAGTTACATTTACTGCTGCGAAAGAGAAAAATATGTTCCTTTTGGAAAGGTGTCCTTGGAAAGGTTTCCCTTTTGAAAAATGTGTTCCTGTAAATTTATGATATTTGGACCCAACAGCTGTTTTTTTCACAGCAACAGAGAGAGATCTGGAGATAAGGAACTTCATCTTTTTACATAAAATCACAGTCAATTATTCTTGCCGAGTACTTGCAGTGTCCAATTTCAAGTTTAGTTTTACAATTTCAATCAGCTGATCGGTCGCTTTCAGCCGAGACTGACAGGTGTGCTTCAGAAAAGTAACACTAATAAAGATGACTGAACACTTAATTTTAAAACAGAGAGATGCACAGTCCCTAAAATTATGTACAAACATCTAAGCAGGCTTAACCAGTATCAACGACATGTACATCCAGCCTCATCTACATTGTATTCCATTTAATTGCACAACAAAATCATGAGTTACATGTAAATGGCTGCTACTTTGGACTATAATTTTCAGACCATAGGCCATGAATTCTGCTGTAAGTACAAAATGATATGAGTACAAAAGTTTATCACAAGGTTAAAAAACGTTCAAGTTCAACAAGCAAAAAACAAACAAATATGAAATTATGTTGACATCTGAAAAAAAATTAATTTCAAAACTGTTTATCTTGGCGGTGGATGATATCTAGGACATAATCTTTTACTTGTTTCGGTACTTGTTTTTGTATAATTGTAATAATCAGCGTTTACTTTCTTGAAGTCTAAATTACAATTTTTTATTATTTTTCCCATATTGAAATCCATAAAGCTTCTTTTTCGAACATGTAAATTACGTCCATGTCCATGCTTGTAACCTGACCTCTTCTGGTTATGCACCTGTTTAACAATCAGGATTTACTGATTGGAATTTTCTGCATATTACATGTAGCTCTGTGAAATGGTATATGCACAGGTACCTAAGGAAAACTTTAAACAGCAGTGTGTGGTTTGCATTGAAAATGTCTTGCACATGTACATGTAAATTGCACATCAAAGAGCGCATTCTATACCAGCTTGTTTCTGCTTCGGGGGCGAGATTTATCAGGAATTTTCCCAAAACCTTTTAAAGTCTGGATAATGCCGAATTTACCGTAAAAATGGTTTTACATTCATGTACATGTGAAAATGTCGACATAGAACACACACAAATCTTTTTGTGCTGCTATAGGGGCTCTCAAAACATGCGTGCATCATTGTGTGGATATTTTCCTTTCCCCCAGTCTCACCCCTGCTGCTTTTATAAAAATGAGTACTGCTCCAAGTACATGTATTCACTGCATTAATTAAAGGATTTTTGATTCACTAAGTAATGAAGTACAGATTACAGAATGCTACGGACATAAATGGTCAAAATTCTAAAGTCAAATTCAAAAGACTTTGTTCACTCTTACAATAAAAAAGCCAATCAAGGGCCGTATAAAGTTTGAACTTTGACCTTATAAATCATTTTTTTTGTTCACCGTGCAGTCTAGGCATGTTAGGAGGCGTTATTAAATGACTGTACTGTATTTCACGTAGCACTGTCTGACAAATGTAAATATTTAATTTTTAGTTTATGCTTGCCCATGCCTTGTCGTGTCTTCAGTTTTTGTAATTTCCCTCCCAAATGTGGTTTGCTACATGTACCAGTCAGTAAAACCTTCCCTTAACTGAGTTATGCCCTACGAAAATGTCATCAGTATGAATAGAGTGATACTTGACACAGATTCAACACCTACTTTTCACAGTCTTGTACATGTACGTGTAAGCCTTGTCCTGTGCTACAGGCTACGTTCTTTCCTCCACTGTACCAAATCTCAACACTATCACAGAAAAAAAAAGGATGAATTGGTGTGCGTTAAGTGGTTGTCCCTGTTTTTTTCATCACTTTCACGACCGTACAAAAAGATGGCCTTTTTCCCTGACCCCTCCCAAAAGTGTATATCATCACCGTTCACAGCAAGGTGAAAAGCAATCACATTTTCTATGCTTGTGAAAATGACCACAAATGGACAGCCCCCGAAAGACTGGAGTCAAATGGTGTTTCTGACTCTGCAGAGAAAAAATCGCACCCATTTCCATGGAGGGAAATATTTGCATGGCCAGGAACATCAAAGTCCCTCTCTGTAAACACTGTAGTGAAAATAAGACTTCACTGTAGTGAAATCGTTACATGCAACTACATGTACCATGACATGTACTGTATTGTATCATGTAAAATATGTTTTTTTCATGGAGGTTAACCCTAACCCTCCTCAGTCCTCCAAAATCCTTCAGGTGGTTTTGGAGGATTTGGGATGAATGACAAAAGAGCATGGCTTACTGCGAAGGAGGCCATGTGTGAAGGTCGTGGGCAACACCTGCGTTGGTTTTTGCTTAAATTCGGCCCGATGTTTCCTTGAATCAACCACACTGTTCAAGAATTCCATTCGCACTGCCTCAACATACCGGTAATGACTGAAATTGCCAGAGGGTTTTGAAGGATTGAGGCTGTAGGCATACCTCCAAGTAAACATTTCCAGGAAATTTCGGAGAAATGACGGAGAATCCATTTTTTTCAACCCCTAAATTGGAGGATTTTGGAGGATTGAGGAGGGTCCCTAGCAAAAAGTGCCTAGGGGGTTAGGGTTGAGGATGGGAATCATTGTATAATTTAGTAACCCAAACTTTACATATCACTGAAATCATGACCAGCCAACACTTCAGATGCGCATGAGAGTTGCTGTAAGCTACCGGTAAATTCTTAGCTAGAGGTGTGTTGAAAGCAAGCACAACAAAGTGTATACATATGTAGATTGTAATGATGGATAACAACAAAAACATTTCCTTGTTTTCTAGTACTATTGAAAAATGTACAGATTAAACTACATCTAGCATGAAACGGGATCATGTCATGCTTCTGGTGTTCTGTAATGAAATAATTTGGCATGACGGACATAGTGTCTACGCAAGGTCAAACTGAAGGGCCAAATGGCATTGACATCAAACACTGTAAAGTTGGATTCTGTTCAAACTTTTCGGACAGCCTGTCAACAGATGTAGAGACTGTGTGTCATTTGAATGCTTGAGCTGAGTCAACGTCACATCCCTTGCAAGGGGAAGGGGGGATGCTTAAATTCCCTTTATTTCCTTTGGCTTGTTCCATACAATGCCGTCACTTGTTTGCTTCAGCGGAATCGGCAGCACGAAAGCCAGCCACCAGTACCTGCCGAAAACCTCTTCCAAGTTCCTCTGTGATCCGCGATTGTAGGTGGTGATTCGGTTGGCGTACTCGTGGGAGGTCTGGCCACTGAGCGCTCGCCGGAAATGGAAGTAGAACAGCCCACAGCAGCCAATCCCTAACATGAGGCAAATGTAGGCTAAGGTGAGGGTTCCGTATAGATACGTGGGTATGTAGCCCAAGATCCACATTGCAGTGCCAATCGGGTACAGGTAGTTGTAGGCTCCGGCCGAGAGGAACGGGGCCAGGTTGGTGTTCAGGTACGCAAGGAAAGAGAGGGCGGCGTGTAGGGCCGCGATAGTGGCGTACAGCAGGAAGACCAGGAAGTACCTCTGGTTGAAGTGGCCCACGCAGACGCCCAGGAAGTAGCAATGCCGGTCCCGCTTGAGGATGCAACGCTTGCAGATGGGGCAGTGGTGGGCTCTAGGTGGGATGTACTGCTGGCATGGAACGCAGTGGTCCCACCCCTTGGCAGTGAGCTCGTCTCCCTCACCCGTCCTAGTCCCTGCAGCCGTGTAGACCGAGTTCTTCCTTAGACAGATGAAGTAGTTGAGGTACATGTTGAATGCAGCCAGGCTGAAGAGCCACCAGTGAAACCTCAGCCAAAAGTCATCGTCCGCCAGCAGGACAGGGAGGACGCAGAACAGGTTAACGTACAGGGCAGTACAGGAGACAACCCAGAAATACACCACGCCGGCGATGTTAGCAAAGCGAAGCAGTTTCATCATATTTGGCTCAGTGAAATACGACATAATCTGTTTAGCTTTCTCTCCAACATCCATCTTGCAAGATTCTAAGAAAGGAATATTCAAGTGCCACAATCATTACAATTTCATTATCCCATTTGGTTGGAAATTTGTTGCGGGAAGTTAGAAATTTCCAACAACTTTGCCTTAGCAGTCCTGAATTCTAAGGGGTTGGAGGATTCAATACTCAAGGTTAACTTTGAAGATAATTAAAAATGCTGTGTTATGATAAGAGTGGTTTGGGATTTCTGGGTCATTCTATATATTTGGGGTCTGATATTTTTCTGTCACTGTTACCTCTGACTGTCTGACATGAATACCATCTGACATGTTTGACAAGGGATGTATCACTGATATTGATTTCAAACTATTTTCATTTGTTTGGCAGGTAATTTGCAGAACTTATTCAGTCTTTGAAATTAATGAATTGGTTCTTAACATTAAAAAATCGCATGCCGGACGTAACAGGGACGGGAAAATATTGGACCCCAAATTTATAGAATGACCCTTCTGGGAAAGGAATACATGTATCTGGCCCTATACTGGAATGATTTCAAAGTAATTAGCAAATGGGTCTTACAGAAATTCGTCTACAAAATCCACGTTTAATGTGACAATCATGTAATTCAAAATTATGGCCTAGGGCCAACCTGGTACACATAAAACTACTTTGTTAGTCCTACGTCTATGAGTGAGGTTTATTGCTCCACTTCTGACCTGGTGACTTACCACATAAATGTACATGTAACTCCAAGGATAGGGTAAAAGAAAGCTAATTGCTCATCCCAACACACCCTCTTCGCTACCCCCAGAACTGTGAGGTTCATTGTCCACGTGCTCCCACGGACATCACAGCATAGTAGTCCGAGTAACTCGGACTCTATGAGTCGCCTTTGTTAACATTTGGACATGGCCGAGCGATCTACGAATTGCCTTTTTAAACATTTGGACATGGTTTATGTGGTTGGGTGATAGTTGATAGTTGCCCCACCATGTCCAAATGTTAAACTAGCGATTCGTAGAGTCCAAGTTACTTGGACTACTGCTGTACTGAGTGCGACAGATGACAAAACTTCCAGTTTTCGGGGCACCTTTTGGCTAGGATGCATCATCAGTCCTTCATAACATCATATTTTCTGGTAAGTACTGTGAGCTGTCATCATCCCCAGAATGACTCCTCAGAATCAATGAAAGATTTCTCAAGTCTGAAACTTTTGGACTGAAAAAAAATGTGTGCTAGAAGTTTACCATTTATCATGTTTCAAAACAAGCTGCAGGCCTAGCTTAGGCCTAACCCCATCAAAACATCACCATGACGGGGATGGTATATTTGGGGAAACCCTACTTTTTTGTCATTTAACCCTTGTAAAACTGGTCAGGTCCCTAAATCAAATTGTAAATTGTGAGAAATGTGACTTTCTTACTGATAAATCACCCATTAAAATTTGACCCCACCATGTGTCATATCATGTCTCACAGTTTCCCCTGATAATTTCCCTCAAAACACAATTGAGCATTACTGTATGTCACATGGCCCAATACATGTATGACATAAATAGTGATCAATACATTTATGTACATGTAATGCTAAAAACATGCAAGTGCATGAAGTGTAGGGTTAATGATGTGAAGAGGGCAGGGTTTTGAGTTTTAAGGGAAATTATGAGGGGAACCAGGAAACTATCAATAATACTATGACACACACATTAACACATGACACATGGTGGACTCGAATTTGTATGGTAACATCGTCATCTATCTATACCACGGTGAATCCAAACGAAAATTGTATGTCTACCTAGCACCACCACGGTCCGAGCAACTGGAAGTCCAAGTGGGACTAGGCCTAAATCGCTTTATGTTAAGGCGATTTGTATAGGCCCTGCTTAGGCTAGGTCTCCCATTATAGGAACGGGGTCCCCAAATATACAATCCCCACCATGACCAATCAACTACCAACAAGGTTCATGATCATACTTACATCAGGTAATTTTGCTCGAATATAATTTTTGACAGGTCGTCAGAAAAATGCTCCGTTTCGTTCTGCTTCGACAAATGGCGCCCCCAGCCGGCCGAAAAGAGTACATTATGGTTCTCATTCCAGATCCACAGCAGCCGATCCCTTTCTCTTTGGGGTGCAGACCACTAATTCAAGTGAGAGTTTCTGGCCAGTCATTAGCATTAAAAGTGCCCCCGCAGCATCTTTTGAAAAAGGAGATTGTTTGACCCCCAAAATGGTGAGATTGTGTAAATCCTTGCCAGGATCAACTCCCTGGGTCTTTGAGCTTTCATATGAGAGCAGAATGGCTTAAAACTACGGTTGAAAATGGTCCTAAGTGGCCCAGAAAGTTGGGGTTGCCACTTGAAAAATGGCTGCAATCAGACTTCGGAAAAAACCACTTTTGGGGGGTGATTTTGTGGAAATAATTAAAAATGTAATTTGTTAACCCACAAAAAATTGAAAAGAAATTGAAAGATAAGTGACTAGACAAGAATTTCATTTGTGTATCGGAAATCTCAGGGATGTTGGCGATGGCCTGCATGTTATTGGGCCCTGAACAGTGCTGATTTTACGGTTTTCAATGGGGGCTTGAATTAGTGGACTGTACTCTTTGGCTACTACGGAGCTCTGGAAGTGCCGTCCTACTTTAGATCCTGCATATTTTATCTCAGGATGACGACATATTACATGTACGGGCAATATGGCGACATCATGAGATGTTTTATCGTGGGATGAAAACATCCTGGAATGGAAATGACAACACCCCGAGATAACTTATCATTCGATGAAGACATCCTAAAAGTCCGATGACCACATCCTGAGTAACTTTATCATGAGATAACGACATCGTAAAAATCGTATGATGACATTATTTGTCAATGGGTGCCATGACGTACAAACCACCTTGAAAACAGGTGGTCTAAGATGTGCGTGTTTTTCAATGCACTGTCCTCCTGTTGCCATACATGATATTAATTAGACTGATAAAACGTCATGATGTCTCACCGCCTCTTACAAGTATTGAAGTTGACGTCACACATGGTGGATGGCTCTGGATGACAACATCCTGAGACAATAATTATCGTCATTATCTGAGGATGTCGTCATCCAACTTTTAGGATGTCATCATCCTATGATAAGTTATCAGAGGATGGCATCATCCAACTTTTATGATATTGTCATCCCGTGATAAATTATCTCAGGATGTAAACATCTTGCCTTTATTATGTCGTCATCCCGAGAAAAACATTTCAGGATCTCAACAAGTTAGACGGCATTTCCAGAGCTCCGTAGTTTTCGAGTTACCTTGTGAGCTCTGTAATTATTAGATTTCTTTCCCAAATAAAAGTGATGGACCGAAGTTCGGACCCAAGAGCAAGTTTTGATGAACCAGTTTTGGGGGAACCAAAGATTTCGGAAATTTTTTCTTTATGTAACCTTTTACGGGACCAGTAAAGCTACTTTGGGGCTTTATGATCTTAGCGCTAAACGCCTTTTGCGCGGGTCACGGTCCCCATTGACCGGACCCACCTCCGGGGCCCGATCAAATCGACGTATTCATGGTTTCATGTGTCTTACATAATAACAATTTAGAAGATAAATCGCAGGTGGATCTGAGTATAGATTGTAAAGAAACTCGGAAAGAGTAGATTTCTGGACACCACTTGATACTCTGTGAGACCGGACTGAAAAATGTTATCTTGTTTAAATTAAGTAAATGCGCCAATATTTTCTCGGTCGGCCAGATTTGACCTTTTAGGATTTATTATCACTTTCTGATGGCTGATAAACCTCTGCAAGGGAAAGTTAGCTTTGCTCCCTCTGAATTCTTAGAACCCAATGGAATGCTTCGCCGGCCGGCATTCAACAAAGATAGTTTGGTCCTGTTACACTAGCTGGTACCCAAATTTGCGAAAAGTAGTCGTTTTTTCGATACCAATTAATCACAACCCCAGCAGGAATTTAGGGGAGGGCGGCTGAGCTGTCCTCATTTAGTTGAAAAGAAAATGTATTCTACTGACTGACAAATGTCAAAATCGCCGTATAACACCCCGAGCTCTTCAAGGCTCTGTAGGCCTATAACAACCAACGAAATCAAATATTGAAGTTGAAGTTGGAGAAAATGTATAGGGATGTATTCCGCCCCGACTCTTTTGGGGTTTTACCTGCGTAGAGGCCCCGACGTCACTTGTGGACGCAATTTTGGTTAATTGCTCAATTGAAAACAAATTACGGCCAAAAATTAATGCACATGCAAGGCCCGACATAATCATGTACATATTTCTACGCATGTCCATTATCATTGTAACGAATCTGCGGGCCGCGGGTGAGCACTGAGCACAATCCATTTTTCACTGAACGTTTGTTGTAACCTTGCCAACACGTACCACACATCAAGCTTTCAATGCACTTTGGACGAAGTTCGATCGGAACCCAGGGTAGCAGTTCATTTTTTTTTTATCAACGGCACAAGTTTCAGCGCAACTGAGCTGCCACATTATTTTTATTCAGGGCCGGCCAGCACCGGTCGTGCGCGCCGGCGCGGCGTTCCGACAGAGAGGGCGCCCTTCTGTTGCCTTTTGCCGACCTTGCCTGAACATGTCTGGAAGCTCTCCCAGACCTGCCAGTGTGTGAGGAATTGCTCCCCAAAACACTCAATTTGCGTCCCACATCAACACGGTATTTTAGAAAGTATCGTCACTGACGCATTCTTTGAGATACAATGGACCTAGCTGATGTGCCAGAAGATAGGATCGAGCTTGAAAGAGGGACAACAGGTTTGTCTTCGTTCCTTGACTAATGCTAGTCATGTTCATTTTAGATTTGGAAAACCCCGGCTTTAAGTTTGAACTTCGAGGTCATGAAAAAGTATTACTAGTAGGGACCTACATGTACTGTAGCTGGCTAACATACATGCGTGGACATTGGGGTCGTACAGTGTGCATATTCATTGGGATAACTGGACGGAATTTCCCTACCCCTAAAAAGGCAGATCGAGGTTCCCCACAATGCCATGGGTACATTTCTCGGATTAATAAGAGAATGATTTTTCTGCAGGCTATGTGAATTGTGATGTACAGTAACTTACATGTACATGTCATGTTGTGCAGTCTGAGGGAAAGACGCATGGAAGAAGTGGAATTGGAAGAATACATGGGGAATGGGAAGAGTTCCATATACTATAGGCAGGATCCGGACAACTTGACCATTTGCTGACTCGACTTCGGACAACTCGACCTTTGAGACAACTCGACTGTTGAGGCAACTCAACCGTCTGTGCGTAAAAGGGAGAGACAGGTCGTTCATTGAGACAAGTTGTCCATTGAGACAAGCCATCTGTTGGGACACTCTCCGCTCAGCCCAGTTTGCTGCTTAGGCCACTGTGTGAAATACTAAGCCAATAATAATGGGATGGAATTTCACGTAGTAGATAGACAAGCCTAATTTCTGAAGTATTATAAAAATGGTTGCCGTAGTAAGTCAATCTTTGCTCATTCAATCGATCTTGCACCCGCGCTGACCCAGCCACATATACATGTACCTAGCTCTGGATCGTTTGAAATAAAAACCTACCTCCTTTGTGTTGTCTTTTAGTTCTACATTCTAGACAGGTTCTTGTCAAAAGGTGAAATGTAAGCTTCTCGTTGAACAAAACTTGTTCTCTGAAAATTTCTAGAAAAGAAATTTTGGCCAATTTCTGATTTGCACTTTGACATTTGTGAAGGGTTTGTCAAAAAACAAGGTAGCGGAAAAAAAATTGACGAATAGTTACTGGGCGATATGTCACTCACTTCGAGTGATCCCAAATACTTCTTTCATACAAACCTTCACGTAAACTTTTGCATCCATTGTCTGTGTAATTATAATGACTTTCAAAGTTGCGTTTCATTAAAACTGGCCGAAAAGTTAATTTTGGATTACGCACTAAGTGCATGTGCACAGTCGTTTCAAACTCCTCTTACTATACGGACATTGCAGAAATGTACATAACATAATGGGTTCGTCCACTGCAGTACAAGGTAGTATCATTGATTGCTCACGCTGTAAGTCGAAATTTACGCAAGATTCACTTTTTTTTAATTCAGTGGAATTCTTATGATTTTTTTTCATTAGAAAGTAAACTTTTTACAATGGTTCTGGCTGAAAATGGATTTGCCACTCGTGTGGTTACTTTCTGAAACTGATCCAGAACGAGGACAAGTGTCGCCACTTTCATTGATCCTGTACGTCCAAATTGGAAGTTTAAAATTTGAAATTAATTTGGTAGTACATGTATCTCTAACACACAAGATGGATGGTGACCACATTTCACTGAATTTCAGGATTTTCGGCAGCTGCGATCTGACTGAATAATTTTCGTGATCTGGAACTGGGAAAACGACTATATTATGTGTAGAGATCTCACTGGTCGAGTTGTCTGAAGCCGAGTTGGCAAACGGTAGAGTTGTCTGAAGCCGAGTTGGCAAACGGTCGAGTTGTCTGAAGCCGACTTGGCAAACGGTCGAGTTGTCTGAAGCCGAGTTGGCAAACGGTCGAGTTGTCTGAAGCCGACTTGGCAAACGGTCGAGTTGTCTGAAGCCGACTTGGCAAACGGTCGAGTTGTCTGAAGCCGACTTGGCAAACGGTCGAGTTGTCCAACATCCCTATAGGCCTAGGTACGGACGGCATGTCATGCCCCCGTGCACAAACCTAGTACTAGTAGGCTATGTGAGATTCAGAAAAAACCTCAGTCTTTTCTAAGTAAATGATTTGGAATTTTCCGCTCTAAATTTCACTTTTTGGGACGTTATCACTTTCTGATGGCTGTTGTACCATTTTAAGGGCAGATTAGTGTTGTCCGTGTATGGAAGTCTTTCCGAATCCACTATCACAATGGGAGACTTTGAGACACTTTTTACCAGCTCTGAGCACACTTGTACTGTTCCTGATAGGCGTGGTTCTGAGCATCAATGCATAGTCCTACAGCTGTACTTAGTTCTGAGTACTTGCAGAACTCCAAGTTACTAGTGCTCTGTGTGACTTTGAGGCATATATGACTTTTTATGGGTTCGTAATGCTATGGGTTTTTAAAGCAGCCCTTTTTTTTAATTATTAATTTTAAAAAAAATTAAATTTTTTAATGTACAGTACATGTATTTAATTTAGGTTTCATAACTTTCAACTTACATGTATGCGCACTTTATGTTGTTCTCAGTACCAGCCCCTTGAAACGAGTATGCCAGAGAATCTCAAAAGGATTCTCTGTCATCAGTCAAATCCCAAGAGGTAACATCAGAATTCTGAGATTTTGGAGTAACTTCCAGTACTCCCTGTGCGTATTGGAAACAAAGGCTTTTCCTACTTTGAGCAGCCTTGGTGAAATGGTTACTTCCCTCCTCGGGGGAGAAATTGGTCCTTTTCCAAATTATTGCCTCATGTGCAATTTTGGCTTGATTGGGTTCAGTGTCAACTCGAATTTTTTAAAGGGTCTGTGATCACGATCATGCAAATTTTTACCTGAAACCATGCTTCTTGCAATGTCTTACCTCTCCTCAATTAATGTACATGTACAGTGTACATGGAAGAAAACTGCGTTTCATATGTCACTGCAAACTTCACTTTTTTAAATACTAAACGTTTTCCATGGACATCAATCAGCGGGGGATGGGCATGTGGGATGTCATCCCACTGTATCTTTGTCCAGCCCCCAGCTACTTTTGTCGCACTTCTACCCGTATGTACATACATGCACCGGTAGATAAATCTTGCAAAAGCATTTCCTCAAAACAAATGGGTTAAAGTGGTCAGAAAGTTCCACAGTTGAGCATCTATTTTATGTTTATACATGTGCATGTTTGCACAAATACATGTAGAATCCCAAAATTTGCTGGGGCCCTTAATTAATGTGTAGGGTTTCTCACTTCGCTCTTGCATAAAGTTTTGACCGAGGTACATGCATTACATGTATGGCCCCTCTCCCCTACCACTTTTTAGAAGTCAGTGACGCCCTTAGAAATTTTTGTGGTTCCCCTGACAAATGAGGGCGCTGTTACCGTGATGTCATTACCAGAGGACAATGTTCATTTTGGGGGGTTTCTATTCATATTGTGAGAGGGAAAAATACTCATTGGAATTACGTGTACATGTACTTGTGAGAGAAGTTTGCTTACTGGCCTGGATTGAGTCACAGGATTGCACGCACTCTTGACCTGGGGAATTCCTGAAGCTGAAATATAAAGTGCACGATGAAAAGGAAGTTGAAATTTGGAAAACCCCATTGCATGTATTTGAATACACTCTCTTGTTTCCCTTGGGAACATACATGTACATGGCATCTACATGCTAATGTGCTTCCCAAAGGAAGTGTCCCAAAATGAACAAGTATATTCCAGGTTTGCTTCACACTTGGGGGAGAAAGGTTCCAATATGATAAAGTATAGTTAAACCAATACCGAAATATTTTTTACCCGTGTCCAGGACTAGGTTTCAATATAAAAGGTGGGAGGGACCAGCCACATGTGCCACGTGACCCAGGCATCTTTGTGACCAAGATCCGAGATGATGGAGCGGCGGCAAAGGATGGGCGGCTACAGAAGGGGGACAAGATATTGGAGGTAGGCGCCAGAGGAAGTCTGCAGTCACGGTTCTTTCTGCGCTGTAGCGAGCCTTGTTCCCCGAAATCTAGCTTGCATGTAATATTCTCTTTATGTCCCGGTACATGAAGTGGCTAAAATCAGGTGAGCTGTAACTCGACTTCCAAAGTCTGCAGATCCGGCATTGTATTTCCGGCATACAAGAAGTGTTGCCAGTAGTTTAAAGGAGTTGGATTCCCTTGAGCCATCAAGGTGATGCAGTTGGCTTGTAGATGCACACTCATCGCAACAAGCTAGCCTGTGATCAAGGTGCCCGTGGCAAAATGAATAGTTGCTCAAGAGGGAGGAGCTGGAGGAGACTAGTTTGAGCACCAAACCAACGCACGAAGAAAGACTACACAATGAACCGCACGCACGCCCCACACGCCTTTGCAGTTCTGCCCCACGTAGTTTATGTTTTTCTTTACATTTGCTACCGTTTCGGTAGCAGATACGATATGTGCGTATGGATAAGTCTCCTCCAATCAAAACGATCGCCTCTGTCATGCATGTAATAAATTATTCATCATTACAATGGCCACGCGCATTCAACGTGGCGTCCTTTCCAGCAGTGGTGTAAGCTCTAGACAACAATCTCTTTTAGAATTGCCTCAAATATGCAGCACTGAAGTTTGGGATTCCGATCAACAAATTGAAACCTTAGAAAATGTTGGCCGTGAAGGCTGTTCTGGAGGGTCAAGACGTACACATGTATTTGTCAATCTTCTAACTGGACATGGCAAAAGTTTCAATAATACCAGGCCGCACCGTTGTGCAGCGACTTCATGAACGTAAGTAGCCTAGACACACTCAGACTACTTAGCCCCCAAAACACGATTGGTTCAGAGAAATGTGAACAATTCATAACATTAGCATATTGCATAATTCAGATAAACCTCTGGAAATAAAGCTCCAAATGCACTTGCGGCGGCGTGCACAGATAGTCCATGACACACACAGCTCGGCTACTGCATGCACATGCATGGTTAATTTCGGGCTTGCATGCAGTTCGTTGTGTGGTCTTGACTATTCATTTCGCTGTGGGCGCCTTGATCAAAGGCTACCCAACAAGCATGTGGACTTGAGTTTGAACCTTATGTTGACCATTTCATCAAAACTTTTCCCCTTCTTTAATTTCTTTACCTTTTCAATCAGATCCCATGTTTAATTTCCACAGATGTTTTTGCTTTCCCATTCTTGGTATTTCATACCCTGTAGGGTTTTTAAAAAGAGAAATAAACTCCAAGAACCATTCATTACAGACTGGTCTGGTGCCTGTTTCCAACGCAGCAGATTAGTGTAATGGATTAGACTACAACCAGTCAACAGTTCTGTTACCATAGCTACAGAATTCCTTTTATTATGCAGTGTTAACCAAACTCTTAAGAATCCTTCTGCACTTACATGTACATGTAATGTGTTGTTGGCGCAGTAACGCGTACATGTATGTACATGTACATGCACTGTAATTCTGGCTTTTTCCTTCCTGGTCTGAATTCATTGAGCACTGTCAGATCGGTGCTCTCCAAATGTTTGTCAGAAAAAAATAAGTAGGGCCACTCCATTAGGATTCGGGTCCTCAACCTTCTGCTTACTACATGTACGTGTAGTGCAGAGGATCATGGATTTAGTTCTAGCTACCGTAATACAAATTTTTGGACTACACTGAGTACATGTATGCATGAAGTGCGCATACTTAAGTGTGGGTTACAACACATTAAAGTATCATGTGTACTGTGTACGTCACTCCGATGCATAAAAGCCCCAATCAAGAATGCTCATGTGCATATTGCTCCTGTGCATCGTAACTCATGTACAACTTTTGCTACTGTCCTTAGATCACACGTCCTATAGATGACCCACATGTAGTGTTTGAAGGCTTTAACCACCTGTTTCCTTTTTCAATTACATGCAGATGTGTTTCACTGTTTGACTGTGTGCACATGTATGTACATATACCTGCCAAGGTTTCTTCTTCCCGTGAAGTTTCAAATTATTCAAACCTAAAAGTTTCGAACTGAGAGTACCCTGCAGTATTTTAGGAGGAAGGGAAAAACAGGCTCTTGCACCCTGAAATTTGGCTTGTTTTGCATGTGAATTTTTGTCAACAAAAATCCTTTATGCAAAAGGATTTTCCAAAGGAGATTTCCGTCAAACTGGTATTGTAGCATTCATTTTGTGTACACCTATTTTTAAACCACCTGCAGTCCACAAATGGCTTTGCGTAGAAATTGGAACCTCTTTCCAAAAGTTATTAGACAGGAAATCAAGGTTTACAACACCATTTTGTAGGTTGTTTGGCCTTCTATTATGTGAATAAATTAGACATTCTAACTTTCACTTATGGTTCCAGCTTTATTTTGAGGCACACCCGAAATTTGAATATGAGTTTTTCCTTTAGCCATGAACGATATGTACATACATGCATGTACATGGCTGTATATCGTTAATTATGTGTCTGCATAATTTGTAATCGCTGAAATACATCTGTTCCGGTACGCCTTTTCTTTGTTTAACCCCGTTTAGAATATTGTGTAAATGTAGGTCATGACAGGTAGTTGAAGGTTCAAGATACACGTAACAGGAAATATTAATGGAACAATAAGGACCCTTTTTCAAGTACATTGTAACCTTTCGAGTACGGTAGCTTTAACCCCACTTACATGACTTACATGTATATGGCCAGTATTGTGATTTACCTGTTCTGACCATTAGCTCATTGCTACTGAATTGACGTTAATACTCTTGTAGCAAGGGATGCATGCCGTGGCAACTAACTGAAGGCAACTATTCCATGGGGGAAGGTAGCCAGATTTAGATATCCGATGGACATCCAGCAGGCATTGCTGGGTGCCCCAGTGATCATGAATCATGAGTCAGACTTCAGAATCTGAGGAGTTATTTTAAGTTGGCTCAGGGGAAGGTACAGGTCAACTACTTTTGTTCCTCTTTGTGATCATGCAGACAGTGTCCTTCTGACGTAAGAGGCTCGAGTTTTAGGGTGGCAAACCTTTTGATTTTGAAAACAGTCAGATGAGCAGTGAAAATTTGGCATTTTCTCCTTTCTTTTATATTTCTATGAAGGGCCAGTGGGGCTTTGCTTTACATGTATATGTGAGCCACTCTGCAAGAATGAGTCACATGTCGCCAGAGCTACTTTGAGTTAAAAGCCTTTGAAAGAATCTTGCGCAGTGTTTAAGCGACAGGAATCCTGAACATTTTAAAACTACACAACGTCCATTTTCATCACACTCAATTGTGAGTGACGCATCTAAACAAAGAGTTCATATTCCTCAATCTAATGCATGTACAAAGTAAAAGTCAAAAGTGGCTCTAATAACTTGTGACTCACTTTCACAAAGTGGGTCACATGTATGGCTCTGATAACTTGTGACTCACTTTCACAGAGTGGGTCACATGCATGTTGATGCACACATTGTACATTTACAGGTACTGGTACCTTTGAAAAGGGGGAAAATTTGATTAAAATTCTCCTCCCCAGCACTGACTACATGTGGAGTATGTACTTGTACGTGTATAGACTTTCAAGTTGGTTTCCTGTTGCTGAGTGGTATTTTCATGTACCGGGTAGCAAAACCTGCAATTCTGAGGAATTCCTGCAAGTCCTACGACTTTTACATCAGCCTAGTTTATAATTTACATATTTACGTACATGTTAGTGGCCTGGGCAACTTGAGCACAACTCCTGCACCCTGATCAGCACAGCGGTAATTTGCAAATTGACCTTTTCCCGAGCGTGACCTCCACTAAGAGCTCAGTCTTGAATGCCATGGTAAACTGTCATCTCTCTTCCTCCCCCGCACTCCTTCCTGTAGATAAATGACAAGGATGTGCGGAATGTGCCCCACCAGGATGCAGTCAATGAGTTTGTGAACTCTGGTGAGAAAGTCGTGCTGGTTGTGCAGCATGGCGCTGAAGATATACTGAGGGTGAGTGGATTTTAGTGATGTGTTGCACCGGCAGGTAACGGAAGTTAAGAGGACAGAGGATCTGAACATGGAGAACTGAACCCAAATTTGTGTGGTGCATTTCAAGTTTCAGTGTATTTTGTGCGCTAACTTTTCGTGAAGAGACCATTTCAATTTGGTTTGATTTTGTTTTGATGGTCATTTGAAATTCAAGGCCAGTGGTAAGGTATCTTGCAGTTTCTCTGGCACACGCGCCAGCCCGTTTGCATTGAGCATGGCAGTGGAAAAGCACACATTTTTGGCTAACCTGTCTTGGGCAAATGGGTACTGCATGTATGTTTAATTTTCACGAAATTGGTGCCAAAATGACTGCAAAGAGTTACATACGGGGTTCGGCTCAGGTAAAAAACAAGCACTGCAACATTTTTCCCCCGGTTCTTTTAGGATTAAACGTTTAAACCAGATTCAAATTAATAGCTGCCCAGATTAAGTAATTTGGTTGTGATTGCTGCAAGCCAATCAGGGGCCCAAAATCACCCACCGGAAGCCTCAGGCTTAAGCCAAAGCTGAGTTGCTAGGTTGGAGAAATCACCCCAGTCCCTTGAACCCCTAGAACCCTACTCCCTCTCTCCTCTAAATCATAACTCTCCCGTACTCTGAAAGTTGTCAAATATTTAGCATCATTGCTGAAGACCCTCACTCTGATCCCCCAGCTTATGTGTGTGTGTCCGTCCTCCTTCCTCTGACAGGAAAAGTACGCCATATCTGAAGCAGCGAAGAAACCCCTCGTCCCGGAGGGCACATCCTGGAAGTGGGTGGCTGTAGTCGGCGCTGGACTGGCTGCAATAGGGGCAATATATTTCGTCATCAAGTACCGCAAACACTGAGGAAAAGCTAGAATGGGGGGAAAATTGTAGGCAATGCTTTCCCTGTTTTACAGATGCACATTTCCAACTCACATACACCGTCTGATCAGATTTCATTTGTTTTAGGTGGATTTGAATATTTGGAAACTACAGGTTCAAATTGTCAGGTAATCAAAAAAGGCTTTGAATTAGAATGTAATGTACATGTAAATATTTGTAATTACAGGCCAAAAGGATGAATTTCTGGGTCAAGAGCTTGTAATGCATAACATGTTGCCCAGCGCTTTGACTGAAACTGACTTGGGGATGAAAGAAACGAAGCAAAATTTACTTTTGCTTTTTTTATTTTTTTCTCAGTGTGTATTCCTACTCTAAGGTGTTCAAATTTTGACGGTAAACCGACGGCGAGTTTGCGATGGATTCCAGAATTATAAAATTATAATGTGTAAATTATTTTGTTTTTATGTTCAAGTTGAAGTTTGAATGAATGTAGGCTCGGCTAGTGATGTGCACAGAAATTGGATGAAAATTCCTCATAAGATTAAAAAAAAACCACGTAGGGTGTAGTCATTGTGGTGTTCTACCCCTAACGTCTTCGCTGCGTTCTGATAGCGTCGTGTGTTGCTTGGTACTGTCACCAATGTTTGTCAGTTGGTGCACCTGGCATTTCTTCAGCACTACTTCCCCACAGTGTCATGTACAAGGACATGTAGTGAAAGTCATTCATGATATAATGCCACGTTGGAACAGTCTAAATTAACAGCTGTGGTTGACTGATGTGCAAACGTGAGTTCATAGCAGTTCTGGGTGGGTTCTCTTACTATGGAAGGCTAAGGTCTGTGACTGCATAGTTGCTAGGTCCCTAATTTTGCCACCTACCATTATATCACAGTAAGCGGCGAAATAAGGGACCTGGCAACTATATGGTCACAGACAGTAGTCCTTCTGTGTATCACTGATTATTGTTATACATTGTATTAATTAGTAATTTTGAGTTTCACCAAACAGTACATGTATACGTTTGAATGCATGAATAGAAATAAACATATCATTGACATTGCAGGGACCCCAGAACTACATGTGAATATGTTCATTTCCAATGTCAACTCCTTTTCCAAATCACCGATCTGTTCTCAAAAACTGAAAACATACCGGTGATCAACAATGCCCCATCCTCTACTGTGTCTGGTGGATGACATGTTTAGTTTCATATGTTAAATCGTACTGGCCCATACCTACATGTACATGCATGAATCTGATAAGAAAAATAAGATAACCAGTAGGATTACAAAAGGAGATGTGCAAACAAGATCTTGAAGCAGAGTAAATCACTAACTAAAATGCTACACTGTGCGTTATTGGTTGCTTGGTTTCTAGTAACCATTGTATTGCTCACCCTGCTACGATGTTAAAGTTTTGCCCTGTTTTGTAGGGTTGTATGGCCACACCCCCCCACCTACCTCCATTTTCAGTTTTATTCGATGTCATGACTGCATGCTTTACTGGTTGAACAACTAAGGGTAAAGCAGTGTAACTTGGATGTTACGATATTCAAGTGTGTTATGTAACATGGAAAAGAAAGGCTTCATGCTCGACTGTTATTCATCATATATCAGATATTTACTTTGCAAAACCCAAATTAGGATGCCCCGTACCCATTAGATTTTCCCTGTTTTAGTTTTCTGCAGCATTTTGTGGCGTCTCCTCTTTGCCAGTGGAAGGTCTTCTTTTGTTATACTTTTTGCAGAATTCTCAGAGACAGGTGACTTTAAAAGTCGTTTAACACTTTTTTCTATGTTTTGATTGGACTGTTATAATGAAAGTGTTGTTCTAGTTTATCTAGACTTCAGTGCAGAGATTGAAATTTTAGATCTGATGATTTAGAGTGAAAGAGCACTGAGGTATGTATGAGAGTGTAAAGTTGGAGAAAATTTAAATTTCGAACACCAACCACCGATACCTGCATCATTTTTCTCATTTCGGCAAAACAACTGGTGGGTATCTTGGCCGAGTGGTTACGCTTGCGGTTATCAGATTGTCAGACGGTGGGTTTGAATCCCAGAAGTGACTTTTTATTTTCCCGACGCTTGCTGATAGACAGTTTAAACTCTGTTTACATGTACATGTATGTTGTGTCTTAGATAATCCAGAGATTTTTTTTCCTTTAAAAATGATTGTTTTGAAGTCTGGGAGTGGTTTGTATGAAGTGGGATGTACAGCTAGAATGTATTCTCGGTTTGGTTTTGATGCATTCATTTATAACTTTGGCCTTCCTTGAGGACTCCTCATAGTCGAAAAAAAGAGAAGATTTTTTATCCATAATCCATTTGTGTATGCTACTGTGTGCACATTTTTCATCATACATGTAATTGATCCGTCAAGGTAGAATCTCATCAGTGCAGCTTGTGAACTGTTGTCCAATTGCATGAAATAGAAAGCAGATGTGGGATGTGTAAGATCAGAGACAAACGCTACTTAACCCTAACAGTCCTCAATCCTCCAACAGGTGAGGGATTGAGGACTGTTAGGGTTAACATACTGTGCGAAATTCCATAGGGTTCCCTTAGGGGTGTGGCTCATTCGCATATGGAGATAGGTCAATTACAGTAGTGGTTGAAAGTTTACGTTCACTTGGACTAAAAGTTTCTAATTACAGTTTTTAAGCCTGTGCAATATCTTGGCAAACCATTTCTTTTCTGTCGCAGATCGGCCAGCACCTTCACTTTATTTACATGAACCTGATAATGGAGAAAGGAAATACAGCAAATATTCTGATTGAACAATCTGTACAAGAAGAACAGTTGTCAGGATTAGATAGGTCCTTAAAAAGTATTAAAAACCTTACCGTCCAAGTTTACACAGACTTTTAACCACAGCTGCATGTGTATGTCTCATGTAGGCAGTTGCCAGTTTGGAAACAGTGCGAAGACAATCTTTTGCTGTCGTTATAAATTAAATTGAAATTAATGCTTGGTCTTGCAAAATGCATAGCTTGCTCTGTAAAATTCCTCCAGTTTTCAAATCCTTGCCAGAACCCCATAATGTGTGATGGAGAATTAAAAAAAGGGTGTATTGGACTTACGTGCTATTTGATTTTGTGGTCAAGCTTTTCTTTTTATTTGTTTGGCTCAGACTGTGGTTGGGTGTTACTGGAGGTAAGTTAGAGATCTGGAAAATACAACCCAGGGTTAGGAAAATGACCCGCAATTGCAGAGAGAAAAAGAACATAGTTAAAACTAAATTGGGGAAGGGGCACCGGATTGTTTGGAAAGTAGGTACTGTTTGTGCTGCATATTGATCATTTTAAAGATGATAAATTCCTTAAAGGAGCACAACCCAATCATTAACCCCCTTTGTAACTATTCTGGGATACATATATGTACATGAAAATTCACGACTGTATAGGTTTAGAAACCCTTTCAAATTACAGCTCACCCCCTTTTAATCACAGATAATCCTAGGGGTACCCCTTCCCAATCCAGGGCGGAGGGTTCAAATTTATTTCTCAGTTCCCTGGGACCGACACCAAATGTGACACAGTATGGGTCCATACTGTCCGCAGGGGGCCGTCATGATCAGTAGGCTCGGTCAGTTACAACTTTTTGTCTGTTTGTAGGCTGACCGTATGACGGATCTTTATTCCTTCTCTAAATTCTTGGGGGGGGAGGGTGGCACAGACCTCCGAGTTGATTGTGCCCCCATTCCCCTTATACTTATGCCGCTGATGTGACATTGAAAGGCTGATCTGATCTTGGAAGCTGGGGCCTCGTTTTCAAGGAAGGGGCCCCTTCATTTTCTTCTCCCTCCCGATAAAAAGGGAGGGGTGCACCTCAACCCCTGGATCCACCCCTGGCCAGATTCACAGCAACAGAGAATCGACGATAGAAACTTCAACTGCGGCCTGGTCCAGCATGTCTATTATACATGTCCAGATTCAGATTAGTAACAGTTCCTTCAACAACTGAGAACGAAATGATTTCAGCAGTCATTCTTCCCCACAACAACCAGGGACTGGAATCAGCTGCCATAACATCACATTCAGATCAAACTTCATCTACATTTAGAAGACAGATAGAAAAGCTGTTTGATTAGATGTCTCTTTGAGTGACCTAAATTGAGTGATGTTCCTGTTGGAGCTGTTCAATCAAATAAAGATCACCTCTAAGGAAAATATATGTTTTCTCAATCTGATTTTATCTGTTAAAATAAATATGGAAGCATCCAAATTGAATGCAGTGTCATTTGTTTTTCAGAGCTCAACTATAACAAGCTAAACAGGGCTTTTTTCCGTTCATGAAAAGATTTATTAATTATTTATTTGAAAGGATAAAGTCAGAGAAAACATGTTTTACTTAAGTTAGAGGTGCTCTTTAAACTATCCAGATCCAGATAGTATTGATAGTACCGTCATGCTTGCGCCAAACGTTTAAAGAAACGAAACAAATCACATGGATGTACAGGAAGTATTACCCATAATGCCCCTGCTGCGATTCGCTGAGTGAGATGGACAGTAGACTTTATGTGCCCCTTCCTGTGTATGGATGTTGTGTATATAATACGATCGGAGGAGGAAGCATTTCGTGAATGCGTAAATTTTTACGGCTTTCACTCGACTTAACCAGCAATAATCAACTCCTTTTACACTGACAGGTTTCAAGATGTTGTCGCAGTCTAATTACCTAGGATTCTGTAAGTATTTTCACTTCCTGAATAACATTTACTCAGTGAACCTCATCTAGCATGTGTCTAAGCAAGAGTTCCACACAGACCTATGCCAACCAGCCGGCCTACTGCCTGTCTACGCACTTCAATATTCCATGACGAACTTTGCACAAACCCTTTGAGAGTGGTCTGAAAATTTCTGTTTTTAAGTAAAAGAGTTGGTAATTTCCCTCCAAAGTTGAACTTTTCTGGGCGTGTTTTGCTTTCTGATGTAGGTATGTTGCAATACATGGGATTCATGGCCGCCACTTTCTCCTTTCTCCTACCCTAGTCATTCAAGTCCTGGCTGTTTTATTCCTCCATGGTCCTACTGTGATTGGCCCAATTCGCTTCCATTTCAATGACCAGTCACTGCTGGTAACACAGTAGGCTTAACAGGATAAGTGGTATTTTTTATGAGCTCAAGGAACAAACTCAATTGCAAACTTCTGCCACAATGACTGTGGAAGGCTTGGGAGACACTTTGGTGATCTAGCAGACATACATTGATGTACTGACCTCGTGTGACCAGACTTTTCGTCATGTTGAGCATGTGCACATTAGCTCAACCATGATGCAAATAATGATAATAGGGGAATGGTTACCTGTATGTGTGGACGTTTTACTGCTTTTCACTGAACAAAACATGCATAGGCCAACTACACGAAGAATGCATCTTACTTGAAAAAAGAGTAGTCTAGACCTGACAGCACCTTTTGCTTTTTTAATTCAACTTAAAATGTAAAAAAAAAAAGAAAAGAAAAACGTGATGTGAAAGTACTGCTAGGGTCCAAGATTTTGGGACATTTGGTCAGGTTGATGTTTCAGGCATCAGTGCATAATGGGGCATGACTCTGGGGCTTGTGGCATGGGGAGAGTACCATGCGCCATAGAGTTGGATTTCCACGTTACTGTAGCTCACTATCAGCGTCAGGTCAAATTTCTGACATGTTTGACTTTACCGTAGGCTAAGTTAAGTTTCTAAAATGATTTGTAAACCACAATGCAATAAAACAATCAATCCTCGTTAATGAGAGAACCGTTATAACAGCATTCTACTTCTAACAAGGAATGTTTTTAGTCCCAATGCTGCTTCTTCATTGTTAATATTTTCTTTCCTAATAATACAAGGTGTTGTCATAATATGGTAATCTGCAAATTCTGAGGGAGTTTTTATAAACCCCCAAATTTGATTTTCACGATATGTTTTCATTCAAATAGATAAGAATCCCGTCACCAAGGGTCTGTTGACCAGTGTTGCTTTTCTGTCGACCAGCTTAATTGTTATGGGCCCACGTTACCAGCAGTTCTTTGCGTACACAACAGAATCACTCACAGAAAACTTGGAGGTGAGAGTGAAAGAGAAATTTATTGAAAGGTGATTTCTGGCAAACATTGCCCTGTTCCATGCATATTTGTGTCATTGTCGTATTACTTGAAGTTTTCGAGTTGCTGTTTGCAGCAACTGTGTCAACAGTGAGGCTGGCTGCATTAATTGGGGCTCACCAATTCAAAAGTATTCAAGTATATTTGCCAGGATTGCTCTGCCGTTGGAAACCATTCTGAATGTGCAAACGAATAGCCATTACATAGTGCTTGAGTGTTTATGAGATTATCTTGCAGAGCTACTATACCAAAGGCCTATTTTTTCTTTTATAATCAAGATGCCATCTTGATCAATTTTCCGACGTACATGTAAATGTTTCCTGCAGTAGTTTTCTCATTGAAACCTGATTGGTGATGATAACGTTGCTTTTTATTTTCCAGATGTGGAGGTTATTAACAAGCAAGCTGGCATTTCTAGATCCAAGGAATTTATTACTGGGACTGGTGCTTATGTACAATTTCCGTTTGTTTGAAAAACGATACGGTTCCACCAAATTTGCAGTGAGTGCCTTCTTTTCATTAGACACTAGATGCACAACAGCATAAGCAATGTAGAGATCATTTAGTGACGGGATGAGAAAGACGCATGGATTTGAGTTTTAAGATGCAAAACCTAGTAACTATTGAAGGGTCACTGTACTAACTGCTTCCCTGAACACAGGATATTCAGATTTGAGACAAATTAAAGAAATGTTTCATAGCATTCAAAAAAATGTACGCAGAATTAATAAGCCTTTGAAATACTGTATATATGTATCTGTCCTGCCCAACATGATTTCATTTGGTTAAATTGTTTTGCATTCTGAAATATGTACATCGGGTATTCATGTAGTCATAATCCTCCGCTATTTGCCATCAGGGTCATTCTATAAATTTGGGATCCAAAAATGTGACCTGTTAGTTCCCTGTTACACCTGACCTGTGACCTCTTTAATTTGACATCAGAATATCAATGAAATTGACTTCAAATTATTTTATTTTATTTGATGTGCCGTGGTGTCTGGAGGGGAATGTAATTTGAACCCTTGTGCTTTTTTTTCCTTTCCCCTTTGTAGTCCTACCTGTTTGCCAACGGAGTGATGACCACATTTTTAGAACTGGCCGCACTATTTGTCTTTCAGAGTTTCCAACAGGGTAACATCCCATTACACTGGAGCCAGGGACCGTGAGTTGTCCGATGTTCTATTCTTAACCACTTCATGCCGGATAATGTGTGAATACACAGAGATTTACTGTGTCGCAATTGACAGGATGTTTAAACAAATTGTGGCAAATTCTGTATGTGATTCCCCGTGATGCCTCCTCGCAATATTGATCCCTGACATGGTCTTGGAGGTTTGAAGAAGCAACAAGGTGGTGAAAAATGTCTGAAGGTCTTGAAGAAATGACCACCAAGGGTCAGCATTTTTAAGGTCCAAATGTGTAAAGACTGTGGTTGTGGTATTTTGTCATTTTCAAAGTCGGTATTTTCAGACAAAAATAATAGTACCATGCCCAGGACAAGTGCGGCGTGAAGTGATACCAGGTGGTAAGAATGTCTTTGGAGCATCGTGCAAAGCCATTCTGATATTCCAGATCGATTTATTGAAATGAAAAATTAGAGATTAATTATTAATTGTCATGAATGTAAGAGCATAAGGATTGTGAAGCTTAGTGAAAGCTTCTGGAGACTATGCTCAAGGGACTTTTTTCCCCCACCTTTTTTCAGGACTGGAGTCGTAGCATCCTTTTTTGTGCCGTTCTTCTTGGATGTGCCGTACATTTCAGCGCCGAATGTTTTAGGGCACATCCTGAACGGGAAGTGGTTGGTATACATCTTAGGGTTACAAGTGAGTTGCATGCCTTATCCCTGGAAAGACTGTACTATCATACCCTTCACCACAAATGGACAAGAATAGAAATTTATGGGTAAAATACATCTGACCAACTCACTGTCCTTGCAACAAACCGATGCAGACGGTAACGACAGTGTAAAGCATAGATTGTTTAGCGCCGCCAAGCGGCGCAAGATGGCGAACTTCTCCGTGAATACAAGTAAAATGTTGTAACCGCATGGGCACCATTTGAGCAAGCGATACACCTGCGCAATGCACATTAATGCACTGGCGCAGGCACCGCGGTAGGCACGTGCACCTGGTGAGCCCGCGCTCAAGCATTACCGTAAACTGCGCAGGCGTATCGCTTGCTCAAATGGTGCCCGTGGTCATTACATCTTTTGGGCAGAGTAATCCATCTTGCGCCTTCGGCGTTATACGATCTTTGGTGTAAAGTTACACGCAAGTTGAAATCGGCTCTATCATGTGAGCATGTGCAACGGTATAATCTACCGTAGTTAGAGGATGACCAGCTCTCGCTGTTCTAGCTTACATGGATTTCCATACATGTTCATGTGGAACCTTGTGAAGTAAGTCTTGAAAGAAATCTTGAAAGTAAGTTACGCCATGCATTAATATAAATCTATGATACGCATCAGTGGGCGATACGTGTAGTTTTCTCAAATTTTTCTGCTCCTGACCGTTCGTGGTGGGTTATGGTACTAAAATCTTACCAAAAGCGTTACCTTTCATTAGTGTACCCTTTTTCTGCCTCCAGAAGCCCACATTTACAAACAGTGTGCATGTACTTGGAGGTATTTTTGTTCAGGGATTGAAAGAAGTGCCAAAACTGACTGCTGTGTGGAGGTCTGTGTTCTTTGAGTCAGTTGCCAACCTTGGCGAGACATGGCAATTTGACTACCATGGTCTCTGGTCCTTAGCTTTTATACTTCTCTGTTTCATTTCGTTTCGTTTCATTCAGTCAGTCAGTCAGCTTTTTACCTCCATATGTCTTTAAACCCTAAAAGAGGCAGAATTTTTTGGGGGGCCCTCTCACAGCTGAGATAGGGGTTGTCCCCCCCCATCCTTGAGAATTTAGCTGTCCCACACCTAATTGTTTTTATGCATTTTTTATATGCATGTAAGACACTCATCATCAGTATGCGCATACATGTATCTAGGAAGTGTCAATGCAGTAAGATATAGGAATTTGTTATGATTATTTGAAGTTTTTGATCTGTGATTTGAACTACATTAACGGGGAAAAGGTAACTTTTGGGCTGACCTTTTTCTAATGTTCACAAAATTGGTTTTACAATGACCACAGGACATTATTAAAAAAAGAAGACTCCTGCACACTCTGTACAGGAAAAGACTTCACAACGACGATATTGGAGAAAATTTCAAGAGTGGTTTTGGATTTTGTTAAGTTAGCTTTTAACCTGTGAATGTCTCCCAGCCTCAAAAGGATGCACCCCTGTAAGACAGCCCAGCTAGAGTTAATTCATTTTTCAATTTGATCAAAATACTACGTCCTGGTTCTTCCCGAAAACGTGTCTTTACACTGACCATTTTAGTGTACTTTCATTCCTGCATCTCCAGTTATTATCTCAGTCAACACAGTCCAGCATCGCCGTAGGATGCGGCCTCCTCTCAAGCCTGCTGTACCGCCTCAACTTCCTCCACCTGCGGTCCTGGCTGCGCATCCCCACGCCCCTGACCCGCCTCTCGGCTGCGCTACTGGGCCCCCTCCTGAGGTCGCCTCCCCCCCGGGAGGGCCCCGTACCGATGGGGGCCACCTTGGAGATCCAGCGGCAGCAGCGGATGGAGCTGATGGAGCAGCGGATGCTTCTGGCGCAGGCGCGGCAGTTCAGACAGCAGCAGGCGCTGGTAAGGGGAGTCACCCCTTCCACCAGACCAACTATTGTGAGTTGGTTTACATTTCTTATACAGTTTGACCAAATGCTCAGAGTGACGTCGAAAGTGACCGGTCCAAAAAAATGGCCCGGCCATTTATGCAGTTGTTTTGTTTCAAATTACATTACAAAGAACAAGCCCTGTGCTTGGTTGTATCATTCTGTTAAGTACCATGATTAAAATGAATATTGTGTGGGTGAAAAATGTTTTTGGTTCCGATTGATTTCTATTGTAAAGGATTCTTTTGAAGGCCTGTAACTCAAAAGTGTTTTTGTACTTTTCTGACTCATTTTGTGGTGTTTTCCTTTTTTTTGGGGGGGTGGGGTTTTTCCTTCACTGACATAGTCTTGTACTTCCTGTGAGTTTCCTCAGATAAAGCCCAATGCAAGTTTACTTGGACCATTTTCCATTTATCTCACAGTCCCCCCTGTCTTGGGTTTCATTCTATCATCCAGAATCTTTCTCCGATTTTTGTTGTTTGAGCACAGTGGAAACGTTCCGGATTTGAGCCCAAATTGAGACGATTCGTGCATGAGGGTGTCATCAAGATAAACAAATCCTCAGGCCCAAAGATTAAAGCTGGATGGGTCAAGTAACTGGCCCAGGGACACAAGGATACCCCATCACTGGATTCAAACCCCTGACCCATGATTCGGAGTTACAAACTTTAACCACTAGGCCACATGTCACAGACATGTAGAATAAGCCATTTGCAAGTTAAATTTGAAAAAAATCTGGTACACTGAGTTATTTAAATTCACGTGAACATAACAAATTGAAATGCTCCGTATTAAAGACACTGTTGTTATACCTCATGATTCGGGGCAAGCTTTTGCTTAGTTACATACGAGATGTCTTGCCCTCTTACAGTGTTTTCCACAGATAAGAAGGGCTCAAGGGAACCAGTCCATTCTAGAAACGGTGGTCACTATGCAAAAGCTTGCCCCGAAGCACGAGATGTTGCAACAGTGTCCTTAGTCTGGAGAATTCAAATTGTTATGTTTATGTGCATTCAGATAAGTCAGTGTACCAGATTTTATTCAAATTTAACTCATAAAAGGCTTATTGACTGTGCTGTTCCTTGCTTATTCAACAGAGTGCACCTTTTGCTGGGAGGACTGCGGGCAACTTAGCGTCAGTATTTAGGCAACGTCACAGCCGCAACAGTAATTCAGGTAGCGTGATTTTATGCAGTGTAACACAGTAATATGTAGACTCGCAAGCATGCCACAGGGATGCAGTTAATTGGAACAGGCAATGTTTGTGTGGCATTTGTAATTATGCCTTATTTTACCATCAAGTGTATTTAGGCAACAAGTCCTAATAAAGTGTTTATAATGTCATCAAATAAGATATGTTTTACTTTATAATTCATTTCAAAATCAAAGACAACTTGTGTTTGAGGCACTGTACAATTAAGGCTTTATTTTTCTGAAATTATAAGCCACTATGAGACTGTCAGAAAAAAAATGTGTTGTGAATGACATTTAAGAAACATTCACACAGTACAGTGTATCTTCAAGAAGAGTTGCAATCTTATTTTTCCAGCTGTCAAAATATGAATAAAAGCACCCCAAGATGTGGCCTCCAGAAGCCTCATCAGCCGTTGAATCTTTTTTAGTAAATGAATCAATCTCCCGTGAAAAACTTTTTGTTACCAAACCTCATACATGATGGTGAGCTGAAATCGCACTGGTTCATTTACCGTCACGTACCATTCACCAGTTTTTGCAGTTTACGAGGTGCACATGCGAGGATCTCTATACAAGTCGAATACGCCAGTGTAGTTAACTGTTTCCCCAAAGGATTTCATTTTGTTTGTTCTGTATGAAGCCACAGTGACTGTAACTGTTGGCCTGTTGAAATGGTGCACATACAAGATGATGAGTTTTCAAGATGTATTTTTGCGTTGGGGAGATGTTAATTATATATAACGGGTTTGGCC